CCTATTTCTGTAGCCTTGAACAAAATGCAGGGAAATAGCTGTTTTATTACTGAAGCTGTTGAAATTTGGAAGGAACTGAGTGAGATCTTAAAAAGAGAAATATGCAACGACAGAGTTAAATTACAAGCATTAAAAAAAACGAATGGGACAAGCACAATCTCCAGCTCATTTTCTTGTAAATATTTTCAATACTTGGTACCAGGATCAAACCTTAACTGCTGGAGAAGAGGAGTTGGCTATGACATAAACATCCAGCAATCATCCCTCCATAATGCCAACTATAATAAACTTCAGAGCTAAGGGTGAACCATTCAAGAAATATATGTTTGCTGATTATGTTTTAAAGAAAGTCACACCAGTGAACTGGTGGATGTCACTTAACCACTTGGATTCAGAGACTGTTGAAGTGATAATCTCACTTTTAACAGCAGTAGCTTTTTCTGCCGGTGTAGAAAGAATATTTTCTTCCTTTGGACTAATTCATTCCAAATTGAGAAATTGTTTGGGACCTGAAAAAACAGGAAACCTTGTTTTTCTTTCCAGATTATGAACAAACAGGAAAATGAAGGTGAAAATGACTGAGTTAGCTGCAGAAGCCAATATTTTAAGTTTCTTCTTTAAGGCTGACATAGTTGATTAAATTTTTATTTTTTTTAAATATTTCATTTAACTATTTTAGTTAAACAATTTTAACAAAAACAAATCTGATTTAAAAAAAACTTGAATGTTTAACTACATTCAAAAGTTTATATGCTTATTTTGTTAAAATATTACGTTTGCTGTTGAAGAAAAAAATCCAGAATATATAACGTTGTTGTTTTAGTTAAATAAAACAATTTAAATGTCTGTCTGGTGATGTTCTCCTCCTAATACAGCATGGCAAGAAAATCCTCCAAATATTAATGATTAACCTGTTGAATTGGAGATATTTATGAAGTCACTGGGAGGTGAACTATCTGCTTCAATTACCTTTGGTAAATGAAATAAGAAATCATTCATTTTCTGATATAGCTGTAAAACGAATCTGAAAAGTTTTCAAAATAAATCACTTTAAAAATGTATAGTGTGTACTTTCTAAAAATGAAACCTACATCTATTTCTGAGTTGTGAAGGATATGTGTTAAAGTTATAACAACCAACAAGAATGCACTTTTGTGTAGAAATCCATGGTTAAATCCAGTCTTCCTGTCTAGTGATTTAAATCAATTTGATTTAAATCAAATCCACCCTGAAGCAAGCCCATTTAGTCTTAAGGTAAAAGTATAACAGAGAAAACATCTGAAAACAATAAACAGATTTAAACATACATTAAAGATACCAGGAGTCACCCATCATTCTTAGGGGGCCCTAGTAGGCCAAAGATGTTCCAACCCTTCCACAATGGGTGGGGCCCCTCTAGGACAGAAGGTCCTGTCTATTTGCTGGAGTAGAAAAAATCTTGTGACAATTCAAGCTCATCCTTTTATACCAAAAGACCTTTCTTTGTCTCTTAGTCTCTAGAAAACCCAGCTTGAACCAGCTGTTTAGTTTGTGACTTGCTTTAATAACCCCCCTCCCTGACACAAACATTATTTTTGGTTCCTGGAGGACCTATGGTTACCCTCTTCCATGGAGAAAAACACAATCATACTCATATATAAACCATTCATAAATTAAATACAATGACCCCCAAAGATATTGCATATGCGGTATCTGTCACAGCTGTGCTGCCTGCTGCAGTCAGTATATGTTGGCATCAAAAAAGTTAAAAATTAATTTCACATTTGTTTAAGTTGTGCAGATGCTAACGTTTATTTTGACAAGAAGAAAAGAAACACCAAAGAAATGAATGTTTACCACTCTGTTTTACTACCACAAAATGATGATTTATTTTCACAAAGCCAAGAAAAGGCAGTAAAGAAAACTGCAGCTGCACCATCTCTGCTACAAGTCAAACAGAAACATGATTTGCTAAATACTACATGCTGGGAATAGAAATCAAGGTTCAAATAATAGTTTCAGAATGTAATTCAGAGAGTGGTAAAATATGTTCAACATGTTGACAACATATCCTCCGCAGGCTGGAGGGATATTTACCTATATCTTATTTATTATTTCCAGCACGTTAATGCTCAGAGCAGCAATAACTTACCAGACCTTTATGCAGTGATGAGCTGCCAAAATCTTACCAACGGGTTCCCTCCTCACCCTACGAGGGGGTCGTTGCCAACCCCCGCCCCCTGGGACTCCTGTCCCAGCCAACCCCCCCGTGTTCCTTGACCCCCACCCAGGACCCCTGCCCCATCCACCCCTGTCCCCGACTGCCCCCAGAACCGGGCAGGAGGGTCTCGTGGGCCACCGTAGTGGGTGCCCACCCCACCCCTAAGAGCCAGAGGCACCTGCCGGGGGGCGAGGTGGGGAGTCCCGGAGGTGCTTACCTGGGGCAACTCCCAGGAAGCATCCGGCAGGTCCCTCTGGCTCCTAGGGGTGGGGGAGCGTAGCAAGGGGGGGAGCAGGGGGAGCAGCTGCTCCCCCACTGATCACATCAAAAGTGGCGTGTTAGGCACCGATTCCCTGGGTGCTCTGGGGCTGGAGCACCCACAGGGAAAATTTGGTGGGTGCAGAGCACCCACCGGCGGCTCCCCACCCCGTGCTCGGCCCCAGATCACCTCACCTCTGCTCCGCCTCCTCCGCTGAACACGCTGCCCAGCTCTGCTTCTCTGCCCCCTCCCCCGGCTTCCCACGAATCAGCTGTTTGTCGGGAAGCCTGGGAGGGCTGAGAAGCAGGCGGTGGCTTCACACTCAGGCCAAGGGTGGCGGAGGAGAGCTGGCGTGAGGAGTAGTTCCCCTGTGGCGCCCCCCCCCGGCCCAGGTTATCTGCTGCGGCATGGGCGGCCCTCCTCATGCCTCCCTGATCCCAGCTCATCTCCGCATCCCTAGGCCTGAGCGGGAAGCCGTGGCCTGCTTCTCAGCCTGCCCCAGCTTCCCGTGCGAACAGCTGATTTGCGGGATGCCTGGGGGGGGGGCAGAGAAGCAGAGCGGGATGGCGCGTTCAGAGGAGGAGGCGGAGCGGAGGTGAGGTTGGGCCAGGAGTGGGGCTGGGAGCTGCCGGTGGGTGCTCTGCATCCACCAAATTTTCCCCTTGGGTACTCCAGGGCTGGAGCACCCATGGAGTTGGCGCCTAAGGTGCCACTTTTGGCCGGTTAAATTTAGAAGCCCTTTTAGAACCGGTTGTCCCTCGTGGAACAACCGGTTCTAAAAGGGCTTCTAAATTTAACAACCGGTTCGAGCAAACCGGCTCCAGCTCACCACTGCCTTTATGGGCACCAACGGAAAGGAGATGCTGATTTTCAAAGGAGAAAGAGTTGAAAGGAAAGAATAAAGAGAGAAAAGAATAGGTAAACACATGACATGAAGACGGACAATATGGATCAGACATAGAAGGAAAGGAAAAAAGGGATAAAGAAATAGAAGGGAAAAAGCAAAAGAATTTTCTGTTAATCATACTTCTTTATTTATTTTGTACATTTCTGACGCCATCCTGTATTTAAATTTCGGGAGGAAAAGGGAGGGATGGTGGTTATTTTGTGCATTTTTGTCAATTTGGTTGCCCCTTTGCTTCAAGTGGTTAGCCAGTATTCAAGGCCTTATTGGGTTGTTTCCATTAGAAGGAGAAATTTACGATATGCATAAGGGTATTTCTTTGGTGCAAAACTGTTTATTTACAAAGAACAGCTGTCAGTTTCCTTTCTCACAAATTCCAAACCTGCCTTTTCAGCCAGTCTTGTTCCCCAAGGAACTCTGCTTGCTCTCAAGGCCACTCACACCCTATGTCTCTAGCTTCCTGCCTCTCAGACATAGTCACTTGCAGCTGCAATCAGTCATTCCCTCAGCCTCTGCATTGCAATCGTTCCCAGGAAACTTCTTGGCCAATGTGGCTTCACTATGCTCAGGTTTTTCCATGTAGCCCAGTGCCTTGGGTGGTAGCTTCCTATTGTTTCTAGTTATCTCACTCCATAAAGGGGTTTAATTGCTTCTTCCACTTAGCCTGAAAAAAAAGGTGGTTAGCCCACCCATCAGCTTTAATTAGGTATATGATTGTCTACTGACTAAAGAGCCTCTTGATGGCAGCCATTAACATCTTCCATCGTAACCATATGAATCCTGCTGGCTCCTCTGTATTCTTTAGTTGTCAAGTAAATGCAGAAAAGACAACAGCTTTGATTCTCATTGGATAGAGTGAGAGTAGGGGGCCACAGGGAGCCTGATTCATAGACACCCAGCCCTAGCACAAGACAGGGCAGCAACATACGTTGTTGGTGTAAGATCCTCAGGGACCTTACACCAGCAGCGGATCAGCTGTGGCAGAACTCTGTCCCACCACGCCCCTTTCCATCTGTCTCCTGCACCTGACATACCCCTTCCTTCTCCTTACACTGAGGGTCAGGGCAGCTTGTGCAGATGCAATGGAATCTCCTCTAGTGACTTTCCACTGGCAGAGAGTTCCTCTTTCCTCCACATTTTATTGTCTTTAACTTTTTTTAATTCCTTCAGATCTCAGTTTCATAATCTCATAGTTGCATCAGGCCTGGCACTACTGTGGGGGAAACGGGACATTGCCTGCCCTCCCCCTCACATGATCTACAAGAGTCCCCACAGTTGTTGTTAAAAAGGCCAAAATGTGTACAAAGTTATCCAATGTTAAGCAGCAGAACAGCAGCAGATTGGAGAGGCTTCATCCTTTATATATAAGCCCCTTCGTTTTCAGTTTAAACCATTTTTTAACTGAAAAAATCCTGGTTTTTACAAAAAGTATTATTCATTTTTTTCTGATTTTCACCCTACTTTTGTATCATTTAAATATATAAAAATAACTTACTTTATTAGGAAAATACAATACATTGCATGAGAAATGTATTATGCTAATACATTAGTCTGCGTGTATACGCAAAGCTGCCTGTTGATGTAAGGCTTAGCCTATTAGTCTAGAAGATACACACAAACAGGCAGGCAAGCTCTGAAGCACATGCGCATCTGAACATACTGATGAATCTCACACCCATCACCTACACATTTCAAGCAGTTAGCAGATAACGGTTTAAAGATCTGACACACTAAAATGGGAAGAAAACAAAAATCTCTCCCAGAAAACATTTCAGATCACAAGGAAGTATTCAAAAAGCTCTAAAAAGACCCCCAAAATGGGAGAAAAGGATGAAGTTGCGTATATGCGCTACAAATGGTGTTTCCCAATTATTAAATTGAACTATTAGCCTACCAATATTTACAAGTCTCCAACAGCAAGCTGTTTATTCAAAGGAAAAGTTTTATTTGTGGGTTAAGAGATATCCTGTTTTCTTAAACTCAGAGGTAGCACTGTATTTGCAGTTCTATTTTAGTTCTGCAGCAAACCACACTGAACTCCATTAAGCATTAATCTACTGAATACTTTCCCCTTGTCCTTCACCGCCGCACGCCCCGCTCCAGAGGGGCAGGCTACTGAAGCCCGGCTGCAGGCGGGCGAGGGGCGGAGCAGCCAGGGAGACTCAAACTTCCCTCGCCGCCGCAGGTAGCTGGGCTGGGCTGGGCGAGGGCTGCCGCGGCGGCAGCTGCGGGCGAAGCGCAGGCAGCCTCCCGCCAGCCGCACGGGTCAGGAGAGAGCGGCGGCCGCTGGGGGGCGCGGCCTCCCCGACGGGCAGCGCTCAGCGCACGCGGACGCCATGGCGCGATTCCCGCCCCCGCCGAGCCCGGTCAGCGGCGCGGGGCACGGGGAAGGTGAGGCACCCGCTCCACCTGTGGTGGCAATGATCAGCTAACCGGGCTGAGGCGCTTCTCCCGCGGACGGCCGAGCCCCGGCCCGGGTCGGGGGGGCGAGCCCCGGGCAGCTGGGGGCTGAGCGGGCTCGGGGACCCTCCCCAGGACCCAGCGTGTTGGGAGCCGGCGGCTTCATGGGCAGCACCCGTCAGGATGGTTATGGACAGCAACAGCAGTCACGTGTCCGGCCACCTCCGCGCCTTCGCCCTGGAGGCTCCCCGCGAGCTGAGCGGCAGTGGGATGGTGGCTGGCTCCCTGAACCCCCGCTGGCTGAAGATCATCCAGGATGTCACCGCCAGCCCCAGCCCCGCTTTCAGCCTGGCGCCCGAAAATGACACCGGCTGCGGGGAGCAGATCCTCAGCTACGGCAACATGGAGAAAGTTGTGATCGGGGCCATCCTCTCCCTCATCACTCTGCTGACCATCGCGGGCAATTGCCTGGTGGTGATCTCCGTGTGCTTTGTGAAGAAACTCCGGCAGCCCTCCAACTATCTCATTGTCTCCCTGGCTTTGGCTGATCTCTCGGTAGCGGTGGCCGTCATGCCCTTTGTCAGCGTAACGGACCTCATTGGAGGAGAGTGGATCTTTGGCCACGTTTTCTGTAATGTCTTCATTGCTATGGATGTGATGTGTTGCACTGCTTCCATTATGACTTTGTGTGTGATAAGTATTGACAGGTGAGTGCAAAACCCGAGATACCAACATCTCCTGTGTACTTGTGCTGCGTGTGTAGCTGTGTGTCTCTCTTTGACTGGAGCTGAGACAAGCAAACTGAGTGACTGCCCCCCTTTGAACAATACAGTGGCTAGGAGAAAAAATAGAGTAGAAACAACCTACTACTGCAAAATGGCTCAAAGTTATTTAGGTTGATAAGTTAGCAGAGAAGAATCTTGAATGCTGACTGCAGCTGGCAAATATGGTGTATGGCAATTCCACTAGGGGTCTCTTTTGCTTGCTTATTTTTCCTTGGGAAATAACAACAGATATTCTCAGAGGAAAAATGGATGGCATTTTTAAAAAGAAAAAATCAATTCAATCATAGACTAAGCTATTTTACACCCGCAGCCTATTGTTGCTAACCTACACACAGGCAAATACATGTGAAAAATGTGGACACTAAAACAGAGTGGGGGGAGTGTGTGTACTGACTGCAGGACAGCTTACTAGTAATTTGTTTCCAATGTTTAAATCGAGTTTATGGGTTTGATTCACCCCTAAAGCTGAGGGAGAGGAAGCTTCAGGGAGCCTGCTGTGACTCCCTGATTCCACACTGGGTATAAGTTACAGCAGGCTAGAGGCTGTTGTAATTTATGCCTATGGAGGATTGACACAATAGGGCCAGTGCTCTGCCTCACCCCCACCAAACTCCCTCCCTCAGTATGCTGCCTGTATGAGGCAGCAGCTGGTTCCATCAACTTTATACCAGCTGGGATTTCCTCTCCACCCAGTGGTTTTGCCAATGGCCATTTACAGCCCTTGTGCTACCTGAGTGGTGCAAAAGGGTTAGAGAAAAGGAGAGGATCTGGCCCAAAGATATTTCATAATTTTATTTAAACTATTGGGAATTTTGCTTCTATGGTCAACAAAAACATAGCAATTTGAAACCTTGAATTAAACAGCAAGTGGATTTTATTAATCAATCTATATCAGTAATAATTGCTAGCATTGATAGGACCATAGGAACTGCCTTTTTGGAACAGAGAAGTGGACCATTTATTACTGTGTCCTGTCCAGGCCCACCGACAGGGGGTGGGCAAAGGGGACAATTACCCAGGGGCCCGGGCGATTTAAAAGGGCCTGGGGGCTCTTTTAAAATCGCCTGAGCAGGCCACAGGGCTCCTAGGCATGCGCAACTGCTCTGGGGCCAGGCCCAGCGCTTTGGTGACAGAGTCATCATTTTGGTGACAGATCCTCAGAGGTGACAAATTCATCCCTTCCACCCTGGGCCCTGGTGCCCCTAAGGACAGTCCTGGCCCTGGGGCTCAGAATTCCTGTCGGCAGGCCTACTCCTGTCTGACGGTGTACCAGCTGTTTCAGAGGAAAGTGCAAGAATCTTGCAAAAGACATGTTTGGATAACCTTCCCTCAGGAAAGTTTTCCTCCTGGTCTCTAACAATCAGAGGTTATCTTATGACCTGAAGCATGAAGGTTTATATCCCCTTCAAAACTCTTGTTTATTAATATTTGCTGTTACAATTGTGTATATTCTTGCTAACTCTGTATTAACCAATCCTTAGTAGAATTCTGATAAGCTCTTGAATTCAATTATATTTTGTAGAAATGAGTTCCACATACTAATTTAATGTTGAACAAAAAAGTATTTCCTTTCATCACTTTTAAATTTGCCACCTTTAAATTAAATTCTTGTGTTATGAGAAAGGTGAACAGCAGTGACTGACTCACCCCCCCACCTTTTTTTCTTTAACTATTCATTAGTTTGTATACCCTTTTATCCATTTCTGTGGCAAAAAGTCCCAATTTTTAAGTTTTTTCATGACTCTAATAATTCTTGTTGCCCATCTCTGAACCTGACATGCCAAGTAAGGCTGTACCATTGATTTACATAATTGCATTGTAATATTTTCAGTATTATTTATTCTGTTTCTTACACATTTTTGTTTGCTATTTTTGGCCAGCGCTGGGCACTGGGCAGAGGTCTTCATTGAGATGCTCCGGTCTTTTGCCTGAGTTGTTATAGTTACCCTAGTGATAAGTGTTAAACTAATTAAACCAATGATAGAAGTTATACACATGTAACAAGGAGATAATATATCCTTTTAAGACAGAATCTGGAACTGGAATTACAAAATGATTGATTTTTAATGGACAAAAACAATGAAAATATTCTCTCATTTTTTACTTTGCTTATTCCTTGTTTTGTATATTACTGAACAAATACTTGTATTAAAGCAGGTTCTTTTGATTCTTAAAGAGTTCATACTCTCCTGCTGCTTATTTCCAACTTAAAATAATAATTCTCTGTGAAGCCTGATGCCTTAACTTCTGTTTACTTCAAATCTATTATACAACCATGAGTTGTGATGCTGCAGATTAAGGCTGATGTCAGGTAAGGAACAGCTGCAGATAAATCCTTAGTGAAATCTTACTAAATGTTTAGTAACAACTAAGAAAAGAGGAATAAAGAGATGAGCTAGAAGAGTAATTATTGTAATGGGGTTACACTGGCATAGCAGTGGATTACCAGTGGTGAATCAGGTGCAGGGTTTTTCAAGGTAACCATGATATATATTAGCGACTTTTTAGAGATGTGAAGATGCATAGAATATTTTCAGCAACTAGAAAGGACCAAAATTTAATCTGAGCAACAAACTATCACCCAGATAGCACTGATCTCATGCTATCTCATTTACAGTAGAATTACCCTTTTGTGTAAGTAGAAAGCATTTCATTTATGGGTGAGAGTTGCATATCACTGAGTAAAACTCTATGTGTAAGGTGGTAACTTGCAAATCACATGGTATGCATTATTTAAGAGAGTCCAAAAAATTTCACAAAGAACAATGGATTTGATGGAAGTGCCTGTATATTTGATCTTACTTTAGAGGAAAAAAGCCTCTGGGAGGGGAGAGAGTCCATCCTACCCCAAAAACCTACTCTGTGGAACAGTGTAGGGAGCACATACAGTAATCCAATTAGCCTCCCCCTTGTGGGAAAAGCAAGAAGCAGGATTTGGAGACAAAACTAACCTGTTGGGCATACCATTTTTGCTTTTCATTGTTAGAACTCTAAGCAGAAATAGCTCTTCCTGCAGCAAGTCATCTTTCCCAGAGATGAGAATCACTATTAGTCCAAGGAAAATCTTGAAAGAACTTAAGTATGTAATGAAACTAAAAACCACAGTTTCAAACAAGCCATCCTTTTCAGTTTTCAGAGTAGCAGCCGTGTTAGTCTGTATTCGCAAAAGAAAAGGAGTACTTGTGGCACCTTAGAGACTAACAAATTTATTTGAGCATAAGCTTTCGTGAGCTACAGCTCACTTCATCGGATGCATTCAGTGAGACCCAGGGGACAGGGGTTGCAGTATGTGTGTGAAATTCACTCCCACACACAGGGCCAGCACAATCTTCTGTACCACTTAAATCTCACTGAAAGCCCTTGTGTGCTCAGGCCTCATTTTCAATCGTGTTAAGCAAAAGCCCTGCGAGATGCAGTCTAACACTTTTAAAGTCCTGTTGTAGCCTAGTGCAAAGCCTACACCATGGCCAGCTAGCATGGCTTCAAAGTGGTTAGTCTGCATCGTAATGCCTCTTTTCAATCTGTTAAGCTAACTCAGTTGAAAAACACACCCTTTTTGCCTATCAAGATATATCCTCTGTGTGTGGTGTTCTGCAGCACCCTGCAAAATCCCGAAGTATTCATTCCACAGGACCACAATGCGTTTCAAGTGATGGCATTTTATAATACATAAAATATGTGCAGTACTGTATGTACCTGAGAGAGCGGAACAGCTCAATGTATTTGCATAATACTTTACTGACATTCAGAGACAGTTTGTTGAAGGAGAATTTTGATGCATACCAAATAGAAGGCTAAAACTGAAAAGGTGATGGAATAATAGACCTATATGCACTTCAGTGATAGGCAATTTGCCTGTCTTACTAAAGATATGCAAGGACTGTATCCAATGTAAGATATAGTATGCAATTTGTTTTTTCACCCTCTGGGCCCACTTTTCAAATATAAGTTTCTGAACAGGATGTCCATGCTCGCCCTGGTTACTCAAATTGACACATGAGCACATAAAATGGGTATTTATTTCCCTAAGTGCTGCTTTTAGAATTCAGATACATGCAGTTACTGAGGATCTAAAGTGAAACCCAGACTTTGTCTGAAGTATCTGAATAAAACAGCTGGTAAATATTTGTGCTCTTTGTTGTATTAATGAATGCTACATTAAGACTGTGCAAAGCACTTATTAAAATGTTAGTATAGTGATCACTGACACTTTACAGGCTCCACAGGGACTCAGCCAAATTAGAAAAGGCACATTCCGGTGAGTATCTATACAGGACTGAACTTAATGGAGAATCTAAGGTAACATCCGTGACAATATCAAACATTGGAATTTTAGGCTTTTTGCAGCCCATATCATCTCTTCTACCTTCACAGGATGAAAACCCCACAGATCCTCATCAGGGAGTGCAAAAGTGGGCAGTGCCACCTCTGTGGCATCCCCCCTATATCTTGTGGGAGCCTTTCTTTGGGAATAGGTATCTGCCTATAGGATGGGGTGTCTGAGTCAGAGGTGGTGTAGGGTGGAACTGGGGAAGTCAAGCATCATTCTTCCACCACCAGCCCCATGAAGATTCCAGTTTTGTGAATGATGCCTTTCATACTTCTGGGGTAACTGCACCACCTCACAGAATGGCACCAGTATATGCAATTCACCCCAGCAGCTGGTACTTCTCTGGATTTGTTTACTGGTTCCCAGGTTTGCAATAAATTCTCCCACCTCACTGATTTGAGTTCCTGAATGGGGCTTAGTAACAATCCCTAGACAGCCATCATACAATCCCTCATAAATATGCAGATAACCTTATTCTCAAAGATATGCCTGTGTTTGTCATATATGTTACAATGACACTTCAGAAATGAGGTTGAGATCCTACTCCTACTGAAGCCCCCAGAAGTTTAGTCAGTGACTCCTTTGGGAGCAG